GTTCTCTTGTGGTCCTTCCATCCCTCAAGCGTGCCAAAAGCTCGTACGTGACAATTGCAAGCACCATCGCGGCCACAAGGATGAGGTCACAGACCCGAATGGCGGATGGCTGCTGGATCTTCGGAGATGACTCCGTCTGGCATGCCGCATCCACCATCTTCTTTGAGGCGGCCAGCGCCCCTTTGTTCTGCCTTGTGGCTCCTTCAAGCGGGAAGGAGTGCGATTCGGTGGCAATGCCCAGTCCTTCAAGCTGAAGTGCTCTGGTCCAAGTTGCCAGGCCAGCGACTTCGCCTGCGAGGGCGCTCTTCTCTTCGTGATGCTCTAAGAGCTGCTGCACAAACGTCAAGTGTAGTCTGCTTTTAGATGTCCTCCTTGACGCAGATTACTCCTACCACCCACACTCACATTCTCTCCACTAGTCAAGCCAGTATCACAATCTGTCCATTCTCCTCCTCCCTGCTCTTCGCACACCACTGCGCCATTCTCTAGCTGCCATGGCTCCTGTGAAGGACATCAAAGGACCGACCGTGCTCAGCGTCTCCTTTACAATGGCTCACGAAGCGTCTTGCAAACTCACTTTCGTTTGCATGGCTGGCAATCCGAAACGCCATTGAGCTAAACCAGATGTAGGCACCATGTCTCTAGCTTGGCCATGCACTGGTGACTTACCTGCCAGAAAATCCGTAGTTTGAGTATCCGCTTGCTTCCGTGCCCAGATCGCCTCTGTGAGCAGGGTTCTCTCCAACAGCTCCTTGAAGGCCTTGCTGCTTCTATTGCTTGATGCAAGCAGTTCCATTACCTTTTTGCAAGGTCTTGTTGGTATGTGGCACCTCAACCATAGAAAACCAACAACATTATTGACAAACTTTGCAAGCTACCAAGTTGTCAAGTCAATCGTGATCGAGAACATGCTTTTTGTTTTGTGGTCGCGTACGGGGTACATGCTGGAGCAATCAACGGACGCGGATGAGGAGACCAACCAAGATGGCAGTGTTGATCACCATTGCAGCGATCAACACGCTCACTTGCTTCTTGTAACAACAAGCAGCGAGCTCAAGACGCTCAAGGCGCAATGTGAGGCCCAAAAAGTCCATAGCGGTCGTGCCGCGCTCAAGGTCTTGCACCTTTGCCTCCAACTTGCCTACCAAGTTGTCAAGTCAATCGTGATGGAGAACATGCTTTTGTTGGTCGCGTACAGGGTACATGCTGTAGCAAATCAACGGACACGGATCAGGAGACCAACCAAGATGGCAGTGTTGATCACCATTGCGTCGATCAACACGCTCAGTTGCATCTTGTAGCAATGAGCGGCGAGCTTGAGACGCTCAAGACGCAATGTGAGGCCTGGCAAGTCCATAGCGGTGGTGCGCAATGAGTCTTCGTGACAAAGGACCTTGGCAAGGAGACACTTACCACAGGTGAACGATCTCCAATGTTGACCGCGTGAGTTTCGTTGACTACAGAGGGAGGACGCTGGATGCATTTATGCGTCAAGTTGGTGTGAGCTTCTCTTCTGAGAAAGTCAAGAGTCACGTATGTACTCACAGAAGAACCACTTTCCGAGCGACGAGGGTGGTCGGATCCCGC